CTAAGGGATTGATTGATTGTATGCCCTCTACCCCCAAGCCCCCCCCCCCCGCCAAAAAAAGAGAAAAGCAAGCAATCTTTATGTGTCAATATGTTACATACATACTGCTCTTAAACAGAAATAATGTTCCAGCTGCTCTGGGGACAATTCTGAGGTCATGACATTATCTACTGCTTGCTACTACAAGACTAGAAACCATTTTTTTAAGTTGCTGTCCCACACTACAACTCCTATCATAAAGGAGGAAAGATACCATTTAAGCTCTTGTTGTTTCTACTAATACAATAAAATCTTTCCAAGTCCTGTCAGTTATTAAGTTAAGCTATGAACAACAATGAATTCATCATCTATTCAGTGTAGATACAAACCAGGGACCTGTCAATAATCATTATGTACATGGTCCCTGATTCCAGAATAAGGAACTTAGTAAAGGGAAAATAAAAACGTGTGTTTGCTCCAAATACTGGTAATTTGAGTAATTTTAAATTACTGTTTAGTAAATATAGAGATCAAAAGACATCTCTCATATTCTCAGTGGACAAATTTAAGCAAAAATCAAAAGGGCATGGGGGGTGGGAAACAACACTGTTACAGCCCTTTTGTTTGCCCCATCACTGTTCCAGAGCACCGAAGTTAGAAGTCATCTTAAAGATAATCAAAGACAAGTAAAATGTGGCTGAAATTCAAGGTTCTCTGTTTCAGTTTTTTGAGATGTGGTCTCACTATACAGCTTCCACTGGCCTGAAACTCTCAGAGGACCACCCACCTCTGTCTCTGCTGGGATTAAAGGCAGAGATCTCTTTTAGCCCTTTTCTCAGCCCTTTAGCTGAATTAAAGGGGCTCTCCCTGAGTGACTCAGCCATACCATTACACACTTCTTGCCACATCTAAAAGGCAAAAATCCTCATTTTATCCACAAAACAAAAAGAATCTTAACATAAGATAACTTTGATATGAGAGCCTGCTAATAGCAAAAGGTAACACTCACCAAAGAGAACAAGACCTTTTGCAGGTTTTGAAGGCAGGAAGTAGAGTCTGTTAGTATCAGCATTGTTTTTTTTTTTTTCAGGCATTTGGGTCTTTGTTTCCTTCTTAAGCTTTTCAGTGGGTACAATGTAACACGTATAATGAAAGCCCAGAGACAGATACTGGCTTCAAGCTGAAGATCCGAAAAGCAAAGTAGCCAACAACTAGCTCTTACTTCTACTTCAGACCGAAATGGGTGATCCTGTCTCCAGGAATCCTCAGAGTGCAATGCAGACTGCACTGCTCTCCACCAAGCCTCTGACTGCAGTACCCTGAGTTCCTGTCTCCTCCTGCCTTATATTCCTCTCTCCACCCAGCCATATTACTCCTGTCTCCATCTCCCTAGTGCTGGGATTAAAGGTGTGTGATTGCAAGTGCTGAGATCACCTTTGTGTGAGTTCTGTTTCTCTTTTAGACTGGATCAATTTCCTGTAGCTCAGTATGGCCTTGAACTAACAGAGATTTACCTGCCTCTGTCTTCCCAGTCCTGGGATTAAAGGTGTGTGCTACCACTTCCTGGCCTCTATGGCTTGTGGCTGGCTTTGCATTCTGAACCCTCAGGCAAGCTTTAATAAATCATAAATCATCACCACAGTACAAACTGATTGAAAACATCCCTAGGCATCTTTTTCTTTCCCTTTCACCTTATATATTAGGAAAAACTAACTGGGTCTAGTGAGATGGCTTCCTAGATAAAAGAACTTGCCAAGCCTGAGTTCAATCCCCAGACACTATGTAAAACTGGAAGGAATGACCTGACTCCACAGAGGTCTACAGCCTGCATTTGCATGACATGGCATGACCACTCACATATACATTCACAGTAATAAAACATTAAAAACCCAGTAACTGATTTCACAATTGCTCCTCCAATTATCTAAATTTACACGTAGATAATAAACATACTCAGAAAACATCTGACCAGAGAAGGGCCCCAGAGGCCAAAGCCAGCCTTCAAGCGCACACACACGGGATCACCTGGTTCACAGGTGCACGAAGAGCTCACAGTGGCCGCCATTAGGGTTGGACAGCTTCCAATGAAAGCCCAACAGACTTCCACATGCCAGGGGTTGGCAAAATAAACCACTATCTTTTGAAGAAAGTTCCAAGAATTGAGGCTATACCATAAGCTAGCAGGCAGATCTCCAAATGCCCTCAGGAAACGTGGAATTCTGCCAACAGTAATGCAAAGCCAAGAGGATCAAGGAAGGGCTTTGATACATACATAAATGTGTAGATAAAAGAGTTACGTTACATAACACAAAACACTAAAAATGTACATAAGAGTTCCCCACAAATTAAGCACTCTGAAGCTAAAATATGAGGCTTCACTATCAGCCCTAAATATAAACTTTGATACCTCAATTTTACATTATGCACAAATAAAGAAGCAATTTTATTATTGTTTTGAGGCAGAAATCTCACTACACAGTCCAAGCTAGCTTTGAACTTGTGATCCTCTCCTCAGCCTCCTGAGCGATAACACAGGTATGCACTATTAGACCTAGCTTCAGGAGGGTTTTTAAAGACATACCTATTACAGTTATGATAGTCTACCTAATATAGTGTTGTTGTGTGACAAAACTTCTCTTGGGAAGATGCAACACACAAGTCTACTCACTCCAGCTAGGGAACCCACCGCAGACCAAAGTTTGGATATTACCAAGTCCAACTTGGTAAACCAATGAGTTTTATTGGGGTCACTTATAGGAATATGTGTGAGGAGTTGCTTACAAGAGCAGAAGTGACTCAGACAGCTGCATCACCAAGGCCTACCCCAGCATGGATGACAGACAGCTCACAAAAGCTGGGGACCTGGAGCACACTACAAAGCCTGTGCACAGCAGACAGATTGAAGGGTATCCCTTTCAAGTAATTCAGCTGGTCTTCACGTTAACTCTTTCAGGCAGCTTGTCTAGTTTCTGCTTGCTCCAGGCAGCTGGTCTGGGCTTGCCTGAGAGTCTTCTGCAGTTCAGCTTTCTTCCATCTGAGATGGACTCTTTTTATTGCTCAAGGTGACAGGGTGGGGCCCAGCAAATCTGGTCAATTTCAGGAACTTCCTTAAGTCATTTTGAGTTGTTTACCTTCTTGTATAAGTAACTTCCTTATGGGATGGAGATAAAGTGTTATGCAACAAGGGTATCCATTTCAGTAAACTTTTATTTTAATTGTTTTTTTATTATTATGTGCATTGGTGAATTGCCTACATGTATCTGTGGACCACATACATGAGTTACAGACAGTTGTGAGCTGCTGTGTGGTGCTAAGAATTGAACTTGGGTCCTCTGGAAGAGCAGTCAGTGCTCTTAACTGCTAAGCTATCACTCCAGCTCCTAAGTAAATGTTTAATATTTCATTTATAGTATTTTATGTATATGGGTTTTTTTTCCCTGCATCTATATCTGTGCACCACATGTAAGTCAGAAGAATGCATTTCATCCCCTGGAACTAAAGTTACAGACAGTCATGAGCTGTCATGTGGTACAGGGAATCAAACTCAGGTCCTCTGCAAGAGCACCCAGTGCTCTTGACCGCTAAGCCACCTTTCCACACCCCCCCTCAGTAAATGTTTTAATGGAAGTAAAACATGATCATAACACCAAGGATCATTAAAATATTTTAATACTAATATACATTTTTTCTTTTCTCAGGAAGACACAAAATGCTTATATCAGCATTTAACAAACATCTTAGTGACATAAATATCAAATATTTTACAAACACAGCAACTGACATACTTCAACAAAATTTTCTCTATTATTTTGGAGCATACAACACAGACCCAAATGGAATAAGGATTGCTTCAATCATGACAGTTGATTTTGTAATTTTAGTCTTTCACAGCTTAGTGCGTGTGTACAAGATCTCACAGAGGATGACACAGAGAGCCACTGCCCACTTTTCACCATAACTAAAAGGAAAATATTGTCATCTTACTCACAAAGTAAAATAATTTTCATGCAATGTTTGTATCACTTAGAAGTCTTAGAACAGAGAAGGACTCCATGCAGTGCATTTCTTGTAGGAATCTGTTGCTATGGAGAGCCATTAGGGTTAGTTTCCTCTGTAAGTGATCTCTGAATGTTTCAATATGCCCATCCCAAGTGTTGAATAACTGCCTCATCTATTTACCTGGGAGGCGCTGCCTCTTGAACTGAAGATCATAGCATGTGTCATTTCAAATTAATGGATGGGATAGCTTAATAAATGTAACCACCAAGGGCTGATGTGAAGAAAAAATAAAAAACAAGAAAAGATTTTCCTATCAACACACACATCCCTCTCAAGCATCCATCACAGTGTTGGTGAGGAAAATGAAAGATTAACCCTGAGAGAACACATCTGAGAGAAGGGATGAAGAGTCTCACCTAAGGGCTGGCTCCATTCCCATGGCCAGGTTGCCAGTTTTTCACTTACATTTTTATATTCCAACTTTCTGAATTGTAAGACACATTTCATCAGCTAACACACACACACACACACACACACACACACACACACACACAGTATACAGTATGGCACTTGGCACCAACTCAACATGTTCATGAAGTATGTAGGAAAAATGTAAGGCACTTTCGCGGTTTACAAAAGTGAATGCCTCCAAGTTAGATATTAAATAAAAGTGGAGAAATGTCCTCGAAAAGTTTATAGGAATTCTGAAAACCCAAGTAGGTATGAATCATCAGTAATCCTGGCCAACATCTTGGGAACTTTAGTGTGACCAAAGGACAGGGGTGTGATATAAATAATTGGTTAAAATTACACAGTGCTACACTCAGTGTCAGGATTTTAAACTGCTCTTACTAAAAAAATGGCCCTTTTAGGGACTTTCATTTCCTGGCCACAGGAAACTGTAATGTAGGCAACAAGCACACAGGTATGCTGCTATTCAGATGGAGTGATGCTGCCATACCACACGTTAGAGACACTTACAAAGAGACTGAGAGTAAAGAATTGAGTTTGTTTTACGCTACTTAGAAATACAAAATTTCATGTATTTTTTTGAAATCAAGCACTTTCAGTTTCTAGGTAAAACCATTGAAAAATAATGTAAGCTTTCCTGACTCTTCATATTAAAAGAATGTCATGCCCTACAATACACTGTGACATAGTTTTTCCAGGAAAGAAAAATAAATAAATATCATAAAGCCAAACACTGATTTAGAGAACAATCCATTTCTTATGCTGACTTCCCAAATGTTCTATAAGAGCCTTTCCTAAGTCACAATGGGTTGGGTAAATCTCTAACAAAGTCCAGGTTTCACAACTGGTACAGACCCATTTTGCTTCTTTGCTCATAAGAATATGGACCTGAAGTTTTAAAATTAATTGTTACATCCTGTTAATAAGTCAATGGTTCTTACAGCCTAAAAAGTATGGTTTTAAAATAACGTCCTTAAGTTATAATTTAAAAATACAACTGGTAGGTTCTTGTTGCTTGTGTAGGGAATATGACACCAGCACAGCTCCTTTCATTGTTCATAACTTAAATCTTTGCTGCACTTCATCTGCAATCATTCTAGAAATTGCCAGGGAAGAAGTAGCAGCCGGAGAAGGTGCATTTCTCACATGAAGAACACGTTCACCAATATCCCCAGTTCCTCCATCAAACACGAAATCGTCTATCAGATTCCCATTTCTGTCCATGGCCTGGGCTCGTACCCCAGCTGGGCCTCTGCAGAAGCAAAAACAAAGGGTTACTTATCTGAGCCAAAGAGAAAGTATAGTCTACAAGTTTTCAAAATATTCTTAAGGTGATAAAAAAAACTTTATTCTAAATGCAGTTATGTATGTGGAAATCCACTTGCTTTGTTTAGCAAAGGCTATGGGAGATACTCTGGCCAATACATAGCCTTAGCTAGAGCAGAATGACTAGTAAGTAACAGTGTAATAAATACTACCAATAGGGGTTGGAGAGATGGCTCAGTGGTTAAGAGCACTGCCAGCTCTTCTAGAGGACATGGGTTCAATCCCCAGAACCCATGCGGCAGCTCACAACTGTCTGTAACTCCTGTTCTAGGGACCCAACACCCTCACATAGACATACATGCAGAAAAAAACACCAATGCACATAAAATACAAATAAATTAGTCTTCTTAAGAAATAAAAGGCTGGGAGGTGGTGGCGCAGACCTTTAGTCCAGCACTTGACACACACGACTATCAAATAAATATCCAAATAATTACATGACTTATAAATATCTGTTCTTTCCTAAAGGAGCAGGCAAATTCCATTAGAATAGATTTTTATTTAAAAATCATAGCATGACTTTATTCTAGAACTCGATCAATGGGAATCACAGAAATCAGTGGCGGCAGCAGCAGTTTATAAAGCAGCGGCACTACTGTTCTTTTGTGTTTTGTTCTGATAAAATATGATTAAAATTTATAAAGGAAGATAATATATTTTAATTTTCATTTTTAAAAATTTCTTAATAGTAGCCAAGCAGTGGTGGCACACACCTTTAATCCCAGCAGAGGCAGAGCGAGTGCCAGGACAGGCTCCAAAGCTACACAGAGAAACCCTGTCTCAAAAAACCAAAACCAAAACCAAGCAAAACAAAAACAAAAACAAAAAAAAACAGAAAAAAAACAAACCCAAACTTAATATTTTAACCTCCAATATAAGGAAAACCTTCAATTAATTAAAAAGAAATGGCAAGTATAAAAATGAATTAATTCAGCAACATGTTAATATTGTAGTGAATCAATTCATCAAGTTCTGCTTTTTGTTTTGTTTTGTTTTGTTTTGTTTTGAGGCAGGGTCTCACTATGGAGCCCTAGCTATCCTGGAACTCATTATTTAGACCAGGTTGGCCTCAAACTCACAGAGATCCACCTGCCTCTGCCTCCCAAGTGCTGGGATTAAAGGTGTGCACCACCAACCCGGCCAAGATTCTGTTTTTTAACATAGGACATTTTTTAGGTTTAGATTTCTGTTTTATAAAATAGTCAAAATTTACAGATGAATTAAATGTGTTTAGAATCCAAAATCATGAGCAAAGTGAGGGGGAAAAAAAAAAAAACTATCTGTGCACCATCAAGACACAAGAAGCCAGGCACTCATGAACAGTTTTTATTGATCCTTAGCTCAGATTTAAAAAAATCAAAACAAAACAAAACAAAACAAAAAAAACGGGAGGATATCAAGGGCAACATAACACTGTCCTCTAGAACTCAGTCTGGCTGAACAAGCTAAGGACAAAATTAGCCACTATCACTAGGCGTTTAACATGTGCTGGCGATCCTCTCGTTTATCCTTACTGCTCTGAGAGGCTGGTGAAGTACCTATGTAACCTCAAGAGATCAGGCGCCTTGCCAGAAGCATTCAGTTACACTGATCACAGAGCTCAGTAAGAGTTACAAGGGTGAGAAATTTCATGATATGGGTAAATGACTGGTTGTAACCCACCGAGATTTGGGGTTGGAAGAGTCTCCAGTGAGCATCTGATAACAGCTCTTGGAGCACAGAAACAATGGCACCAACGAGGCCATTTCTGAGGACACAGACGCACAGCTACATGGGTCCCTCCTTTGTATTCTTTACAGCTCATCTACCTCACCAGCAGCACTCCCTGACTTTCTTAGCAAAGAATGCTGTTGCTGGGTAAAGTGCCCGTGGGTTCTTGTCATCCTACCCTGTGTCTTCCAGACAACAGCCACAGGTTCTTGGTGCTCTGTGTAAATTTACTTTCCTTTGTATGAACTTCAAACTGCATATTCCTCTTTACCACTCGCATGCTGGAGTTAATGCTGATTAACCACAGCAAAGACTGTTTCTACCGTTATTTCTCACATAAAGACAAATTATCCCTCAATTCCTTTTGCCTAAGTGTTCAAAATCTCTATCGCAAACAAAAAATAAAACACTCTTTTTCTCAAGATCTTAGTGGAACTCAAACTAACATGAAATGTTTAAACTACCAAACTCTTCATGTTTCATTTTCAGCACCTTAGGAAGCCCTAAGGCTCTCCCCTAGGCTTTCCTTTCAGAAGACTTCAGCTTGAGGTAAGTATTATAATCTGAAACCTTAGGTAAAATAAACCAAAAATGCCTAGAGGGTAGACAATGCCTTGTACAACACCTACCTACCCTCCACGTCCAGGTTTGTGTGTTGCAGATTACAGGCATTCATTCATTTAGGCTAAACACTAGATTTTTAAACTGCTAGTTCTTTTAACTTTTAATGGTTTTTTAAGAACTAAAAGGATAATTTAACAAATTGGACTATATTTAATACAGTACTTGCTATTTATAGCTAAGTATAATGGCAAGGTACATCCTAGATACTAAAATATGCCCAGAAAGAATGGCAGCTGAATCTATAACCACGTACATTCTTCCACCTGAGATATCCTGTACTGCATTATTGTCACATGGCAGGTATATTGTGGCTGGGGAAAAATGTTATGAAAAGTTGTAACTGACATCTTGGGCTACATAGGATAGCTCATCATGGAATCTATTGTCAATCTAAATCTGTAATGGCATGTGAAAAAATGTAACTGGGAAATAATTCCAACCTAATTTCCAGACATGAAGGAGCGGCTATTTTCTTTAAAAACTTTAACAAAATTGGATTATGAAAAAATATGGCTTTTATGGAGATTCCTCTTTCCGTATCTTCTGGCAGGCACTAGGGATGGAATCCTGTGCCTGGCATGGACTGGGAAAGTGCTCACCTACTCCACTCACACGGGCAGCCCTGTGTGCCTGGAACCTTTTGAGATCCTATAAATTTCCTGGGAAAGACTAAATAATACCAGCGTTCTATAATGGGCAGAAGCAGTCTACGCTAGTTGTTAGGGGCCTGATTCTGTAATTTCCCTGCTGACTCTTGCCTGATTCTGAGGCCCGGTCAGTGGGACATGAGCCAGGGAATCCTGTGGCTCTGAGTGTGGCTAGGTGAGTTCTGCACAGGAGTTTGCATTTGTTTTTGCCAGGTGTTCTGAGGGGAACTTTACAAAAATGTGTAAGAGCAAAAAGAACTTCTTTGTATGAATTACCATTACTGTGTTGTATGGTAAATATTTCAACAATTATAAAAACATATCCATTCTTGTTTTATCTATACCCTGACTCAACACTCACCTTTTCCCAATGGATTTAAGGCATACCCTGATGCCATACCATTTGATGTCAATGATATGGAAACTATGCTTACTAATAAAGTAATACATGCTTAGTATTGACAATATCCAGCCCCTATCAACCACACTGTCTTTGAATTTTTACTCTCTTATTTATAGACAGGGGGCATGGGAAGAGAGTGGGGATGAGGGAGACTGACTGAGATTCAAGCAGGATCAAACATATCCGGGTCCACTTCTATAAATTAACTTCTATGCTTGTGTCCTTAGACTTTTAAATTCTCACACTCTCACATCCCAACTCCTACGGCCAGACACACAAAATTCCTCAATACATTTTGGTACCAAGGGAGATATTTTTTTAGATTCTGTTTTTACTAAGAGACCCTCAGTTTTGCCAGGCATGGTGTGTGCCTGCCTTTAATCCCAGCACTTGGGAGGCAGAGGCAGGGGGATCCCTGTGAGTTCAACAACAGAGTTCCAGGACAGACAGGGCTCTATAGTGAGATCCTGTCCGAAAAATAAAAAATAAATAAATAAAATAAAGAGACTGCCTTAGGTTCTTTCTCTTTACATTGATCAAAAGCCCCCTTTCTTACTGCCTGCAGAAAAATTAAAATTAAGTCTCTAATGCTCTGTTATCTCGTTTTGTGTGGTGGACATACACAACTGTCAAAATTCACTGAGTGTGTGCATATTTTACTACATGTGGGTTATACATCAGTTGAAAATGAAACTCAAAGGGGAGGATGTACGATAGGAAATGCCACCTCCTGAGCACCACACAGCCATTGCAGTCACCACTCACTGCAAATGAGGTTGCCTGCACTGGGTCTGCACAACAATAGTCCTGAGGGGAGGGAGGGGGAACTGTAAAATTAAAAAAAAGAATTTTAATAAAAAAAATAAAAGAAAGTCAGGTATAGATGGATGACCTAAGTGGACCCGACTGCTCTCTGCTGAACTCGTGGTGACTGCATTCTGGAAGAAGAGGAGTCATGGCTTTCAGTTGTGTGCCCACTGGTGAACTCACAAGGTTCCAATGAAGAGTTCTGAAACAAAGTTCCCACAGTCAGATCTGATTAAATTCAGTAAGTCACAAAACAAAACAGAAACCATGAATCTGGGAAAAGGAGTTGATAGGAATGGAAAAGAGAAAAAAAAAGGCTGAGGTACAAAGTAATTAGGATGAATTCTATGCATGTATGAAGTTGTAAAAGAATGAACTAAATAAAAAAGACAACATCTGTAACCCAAGACTGTCACTTATTAAAATCCTCCCTACTGTTCTAGGACAGCATCAGTACTAACTTCTCTTGGCAAATGGGTTTTCAATTTCTTCTGTTTTGGGTATATGAATACCCCCCCCCCGTTTTCCTTCAATATCGGCTACATATATTCCAAAGATGTTTTTTATGTTTTCTCTTTGAATTTTGTAATGTGGGAGTTACCTAATTCCCTAGACCAATGGTTTTCAACCAAGGGAAATTCTGCCCCCTAGAGGATATTGGCAATATATGGAGACATTTTTGGCTATTAAATGTCCTGCAATGAGCCAGACAGGACTCATGGTAAAAAATTATGTAGTGCAAAATGTCAACAGCACCAAGGTTATAGAAGTGTCTTACATTGCAGTTTATATTGACATAATATAGTTTTCATTCTGAAATTTTAGTTTTGAACTCCTTAATAATACATTTAACAAGATGATACATGGGAAAAAGGGAATCATTGCATATATGACTTCATCTTTTTACATCCTCATAGTGCTGACAAACTATAGTAACATTAACATGTAGGCACGATATTTATCAGAAAATATCTTAAGGAGCTTAGAGATACTATTAAGAGCCTTGGTGACAAATCACTTAACAATGTTTATACACCTTATGTATATATATCTAACATAATAATTTCACATTCTAGTCTAATGTATAATAGTAAATTATTGCCCACAACACCTTGCTAAGCACTAAGAATCAAGATGAGTGTCCTTTGGTAGCTATTGATATTTAAGGGCAAAATTTCAGAGTAACTACCAAGTGTGGCTTTTATTAACTTGTTGCTCCCTTGCAGTGCTGGGGATCCAACTCAGGTCCTCATAGATGTATGCTCTGTTAGCTTTTACTATCTAACACTGCTTATGACACACTACTGACAAGACATTTATGGTTTGAATATACTTGGATGCACGACAAAGAAGACAAGACAGGACTGAGGCTTTGAGCTGTGACAACTATTTATCATCTTAATATTATTTAATGATTCAGGCATATATACAGAAGTAAATCCCTGGAGATATGGTAGAGGTCCATGTGGTAGTCATAGATCCTGATCTTCCCTCCCTAGAGGTAGCCACTCCCCTGAATTTATTATTGCTTTTTATTTTCATGGTGATCCATACATAATACGTAATATTATGTTTGTTTTGCAACTCATGCAAATGATGCAAATAGATCTTCCTTGTTTTTAGTAAATCCTGAGTTTAATAACTAGAGGAATCAGAATCATAGGATCGCTACATATATTCAGCATCTCTGTCCACAGAGGAACTCATCTGTGACTGAGCTGACCGTCCCCACATGCATTGGCAAATGGCTTTGCCTCAGGCTGCTATAAAGGGTGAACTGAATATGGGCAGTGAATTCTCCACCACAGTTTTGATACAGAAGCCCAGTTGCCCATCCAACCAAAGAGTATTAGCGACAGTAATAGAAACCTGATTCAACTGACACATTTTCAGGCCTAAGACATAAGTCTGCAACTGCAAACTACTGAGAACATAAAAGGCTTTGTTTATAAGTGAGCACAGAAAGTAAAGCTTTGATATTTTTATCCCTTGCGTTTCAGAAGGTGAATAGAGAAGAACAAGAGATAAGAAAGAAAATGTGAAGGCGGTGGTGGTGCACACCTTTAATCCCAGCACTCGGGAGGCAGAGGCAGGCAGATCTCTGTGAGTTCGAGGCCAGCCTGGTCTACAGATGAGTGCCAGGACAGGCTCCAAAGCTACACAGAGAAACCCTGCCTCACAAAAACAAAACAAAACAAAAAAAAAAAAAAAAAAAAAAAAAAAAAAAAAAGGAAAAGAAAGAAAATGTGAACTGGGTTTTTAGTAGTTCTTCTAAAGGGTCAAGAATGGTCTGAAATGATGCATTAAAGACAGATTTAGAACAGGAAGGTCTCCCCCATCCCAAGTGGAACAGCTGACATGATTGTTAGTCTTTCCAGACACACAATCAAGCATGCTGACATACTACGCCAAGCTAGTTTTAACAGCTGCTCAGAGAAAGCAGACATTTGGTGCTCTGTAGTGTCACAGAGGGATGTGTCATACATAACACAGTGTGAGGACCTCAGAGCACACTGTTGGTTAGGCCTAACAACTGGCATGGACACTAAAAATATCACCACAGAGGAAAAACACACAGGCTTGGATGACATTCAAGATAATCTACACATCAAGCCCAGAAACTCTTTAATTCTAAGAAAAAGAAAAAAACTTTTCCAGACACCCCTGTAGGAAGGATTTAGATTGAACCTTGCCACACACTTCTTCCCACTTCTGTCCCGTAAACAGAGTTGGACCTCACACAAATAGAAGTAGAGGGGCTGGAGAGATCACTCAGTGGCTAAGAGCTCTCTTAACCTGAGTTTGATTTCTAGTACCCACTATGGGCAACTCACAACTACCTGCAACTCCAGTCCCATGGGAACCAATGCTTCTGGTCACCTCAGGCACCTGGACTCATGTGCATACACCCCACCCCAACACAATTAAAAATAAATCTTTTAAATAGAGAAGAACACCAAGAAGTATTTGTCTAAAGGCTTTTAAGAGTCAATTATGGTAGTGAACACCTTTGATGCCAAAACTCAGGAGACAAAGGAGGTAGGTCTCTGAGTTCGAGGCTAGCCTGGCCTACAGAGTGTCCCAAAACAGCCAGGGCTACACAGAGAGAACCTGTTTCAAAACAGTAACGGCACCAACGAAAAGAGGGGTAGATAAATATAAAGACTCATCTCTAGGGGCTGTGAAACAGAAATGCAAACGGGATTCAACCCTCTTGAGGTTAAAGAGCAAAGATTCAGAGGATGTACCGCCTGAGAGATCTGATGCCCAAGTTTATCAGCCTCATCACGCTTCCTTACCGAAGCACATCGCTGGTGGTGATTTCTGGAATGAACTTTTGAAGATGCTTCACTGTTTCACTGAGGAAACAGGCTTTATACATTTCATTTGCTCCATAGGAGAAGTTGTGAAGCACCAGCTTAAAGAAACCACTAAGAATGATGAAAAAAAAAAAAACTTATGAGATTGAGGAACCTTTATTACTATTATTACTATAAAACATCTTTATAGTTATTAGACTTTTGATGGCATCATATACATTTACAAAAAGTCAGAAAAAATATGCCATAAAAAACTTTTGACCAAGATAAGGAGAGGAATTACATACTCAAAATTTATAAGGAATGTAGTTTCAAACTGGTAGTCTGTGAAGCTCGCTAACACTGAGGCTTTCTAGTGCTTTCAACACACTGAAAAGCATCTTTAACACAGGGCAGCAAACAAGTGAGACGCCTGTCCTAGTGTAGTCAGGTGGAGGTGCACTATTCTAGACGTGGTCCTCAAGAGAGAGTCTGTACACATACTGAAAAGGTCAACCCAGTCCTCCATCAGAGTCTGCAGAGGGCAAAACCCATCGATACTTTAAAATGCTTTCCAGTGGTTTGATATAAAAATCTTCTGAAGAGAAACCAAATTATCAAAAAGACCAAACAGAGGGTGGGGAGATGGCTCATTTGGTAAACTGTTTGCTATGCAAACATGAGGGCTTGAGATCAGATCAACACCTGCGTGGAGGCAAATGCCTTTAGTCTCAGCACTAGGGAGGTGGAGAGAGGAGAATTCCTGGAGCTTGCTGGCCAGCTAATCTAACTAAATAGGTGAGCTTCTAACTGAGTGTGAGATCCTGTTCCAAAATAAATGAGGCAGATCTTGACTGAGGAAGACACCTGACATCAAACTGTGGCCTTCACACACATGTGCATGCACACCCCCACAGACATGTGCACGCACACCAACCACGCATACATGCACACAGGAAAAACCAAACAGAATACTTCATGAGGCTGTTTTGTAGAACACTTTTGAATCTGTGTTGTAAGTCTATACAATAAGAGCCTTAGATTTACACACACACACACACAAAAAAAAAAACCACAGACACACCCCATCTCATCAGTAATTTAATAGCTTACAAAACAGTGGTGAGAAGCTTGAAATAACCTCTCAAAGTAAGTCCTTATTAGTTTCAGATCTTTTAGCAACATTTAAGAGATGGACTACCAGATGTATGAATGGCTTTGGCCTTACTTTCTTTTTAGTTAAGACATCATCACCCTGGTTCATCACAATCGTTGTGAGGTAGTTATACATTATACTTGGGGCTAGGTGTATAGTCCAGTGGAAAAAAAACCTGTTTGGTATATGTAAGGCTCTAGTTTTGATCCTCAGCATCAATACCAAATAATCAAATTTATGTTTATTACAGAAAGATCTTAATTTGGATTAAAAAAAAATAAGCCCAACAATCACATATATGAGTGTTTATTTCATCAGAATATTAAAAACTTCCCACATTAATAAAATAAGCACATAAAATCATCTTAAAGGTGACTATTACCTCTTGAGAATTATCTCCATGACATCTCTGGCATTGAAGTCGAAGGGTCTGTAACCTTCCCGCTTAAAGGCGAGCACGGCATTAGGCCCTAGCCAAATGGTGCCATCCAGCTTCGGTGTAAAGTGAACTCCTAGGAAAGGGAAGCGGCTATCCGGGACCTGCAGATGCAACACAGCAGCTAACTGTCAGCCTTGTTTTACTTCCCACTTCAGTGCAGGTACAAACGTCTAACTGGTAGGTAAGATGGCACCTCCCAGATATTCCTATGCACTGGGTGTCCACTCGGACAGGCCTTTCTAACATACTTCTGGTTAAAATGCTACTGTTGTTCCACTTATCCGTCTTTCTGGGTAAAGGGGGAATTAATGTTCTACTTCATATTATTGCCTCTTTCTCCTATGAGAGAAGTCTGTGACTGGCAGGTAAAACACGGCTTCCAGAAAAAAAAAAAAAAAAATGTACATATTCACAGCACAGGCCTCGGTGAAGTGAGAAGCAGATGAATTTAGTTGTTGGCAAGGCCAAAAGCACCAATTTCATCTGGTTCAACCTAACATACTTCAGGGGACTTGTTCATCAACAGGGTAAATGCAGGCAGAAGAGTGAGCTTTTTATTTAAATACCCCTGACTTTTAGTCCCTGGAGCTAGAGTGGGCTCCTACACAAAGCGCACCACCATGAGCTGGGTACCTCCTCTCCTGCAGAGGAGGGGGGGGGGCCTGGTTTTCTTGCTGTATGCATGCATTCTGAGACATGCAATGCCCAGGAGAGCAGAAGGCGGCTTTAGGGATGTGACCACCAGAGACAGATGAAGTGACTACACACACAGCCACAAACCCTCCCTTCTAAAGCAAAGTAAGAGCTTCTATTTTCATTTCCTTTATGCCCATGACCAGTTTGATAAGGAGACAGAAGCAGGAGTGGCATTACCTACCGGATAAATGTTTCCTTTTACAAGGTAGCCCTTTTCTGGCTTTAAGAGCAGGTAATCTCCCCGGAAAGGGACAATTTGAGGAAAACCTATTAAAAAAAAAAAAAAAAGCCAAAATAACAACAAAGCACCCTTCTAATTAATTGGAAAATTAACAGAGGTTGAGATACAGGAGAATAAAGGAAGGCTGGTTTAATTAACAAACTATATGCATGTATAGAAACAGCACGCTAAGCCAGGCATTGGTGGCACATGCCTTTAATCCCAGCACTCGGGAGGCAGAAGCAGGTGGATCTCTGTGAGTTCGAGACCAGCCTGGTCTACCAGAGGTA